AGAGGAAAGGAAAGGAAAGGAAAGAAAAATGGGTGATTAACAAGAACGAATCCGAAAGACAACTATTTAAAGAAAAACCGCTACGAAGCCAGCCATAAAGGCATACAATAACACATATCAAAAGGTAGACAAAAAGTCTAATTGCTAGTCTAATTTTCTTTCTTTGTACTGTAAATATTATGGATGTGAGCACCCTTGTTAAGCTTTACAGCTTTTGGGGCAAAATARCTTATAACTGATGGAAGAAAAAATGCAAAATAATCATAAAAATCCATATGTTCAAAATGTTAACTACCCTATACATTACGTTTTAGGAGATGAATAAAGCATTAAAGATATGAAAAGGCGAAAGCATTATCTAGATTCCCATGGATATATTTATATTCAAAATGTTCAATACCTTTTATTCTTGAGTTTGGCAATAAATAAAGTTCTTGTAGCTGTCCTTCAGACGTCGTATAAGWTGGATATCATAAGCACAATGGATTGTTTGGTCTACGACTCTGGTTTTTTCTAGCCCTGGTAAAGCTATTTCCACGCCTACAATCTTCAACCGAAGGGGGAGGGAGTGGGTTGTCTATAAGTGAACACGTGACTTTATGTGGTTATGATGAACTGCTGATTTGATGGCCGGCTTTTTCCCTCCTTTTTGATTCCTTTTGTTGTTGCTGTTGTTGTTCACGAAAGGGAACGAAAACTTTTTAGTGTTCAAAACAACCAACGGAAAGAGCGCGCGCTCGTAGACGCCAGCTTACTCTGTCTGTCCTCTTATTGATGATAAAAAAAGAAACAATCTGCGCACACGAAAAAATTATTGTAAAAATGTTTAACATTGTAAGCTTTTATTAACCATTTTGTCCATAACATTTTTGAATTGAACAATATGTTGCCTTCACCCACCCCACCCTCGCCTATATCAAATATCTAATGGTTAACTAATTGAAGGTGTCGAATATCATGTTTTCCGAAAGATATCTCCTSTGAGTGTCGTTTGATAGAAACTGTCCTTTTGATAAGGATAAGGCGGAAGAACTATATGGTGTATGGTTTAAGGAAACGATTGTAATATGATAAGTAAATAGAAATGAGAATGTTGAAAATGTCAAGAGAAGAGAAGAGAAGAGAAGAGAAGAGAAGAGAAGAGAAGAG